CGCAAATTGTAAAGAAAGGATAAAAATACATAACGGAGAGAAACAGTGTTCAATATGTAAAAGATATAATCATATATGCAAAGATTGTGTTTTTAAAGAAAAAATGGTAAAGAAAATAGGAATGAAACTACCCATATGGCAGCTTTTCTCACAATAAATAAAGAGAGAACAGGAGCATATGTCATGATGGAAGCAGAAACATGGATTGTTGACTCTGGCTCAATGGTACATATGACACACAATGGTTTAAACTTATCAAAAAGTAATGTGTCTGTATGAGTAGCGAAAGCAAATGAGGTTATGAAAGCAGAGGGCATTGGAGAATTGGAATTTGAGGAATGAAAGCTTAGAACTGTCATGGTTGTACTAGAGGTAAGTGTGAACTTGATGTCAATAAGAGAAATCATGAGGCAAGGAAGAGAAATAAAATTTAGGGAAACAAAGATGGAAGGCATGAGTGATGAGAGGATATATGTGTGTATGGAATAAGTGAGAAGACAGTTGACTGTTGAGCATTGTGTGGTGAAGAGAGTTACATTAAGTATATGTCTAGAGCTGAATGTAAAAAAGTATTATATTATTTTCTTTGTTCCTGGTAGTGTGCCAAAGACCTTATTTTTGTTATTTGTTAAACAAATGCTTCATGTAATTTACAATAACAATATGTATATTGTTGAGAATATTACTTTCTAATGTATAAGTGGTTAAAACTACTTTTTCAGCGAAATCATTTATTCAGGCCTGTCGAAAGAAAGTATGTATCACTCGATTATAATAAAGCTACAAATATTCTTTCCATTGCTAATAAGATGAGTTTACATTCAGTTTCAAGTATACTTATAACAAACATAAAATGTTATTATTAAAATTAATATTGATTAAATAGTTCTTTTAATAAAACAGTTTACCTAACTTATGCCATGATGGGTGGGAGAAATACAACAATAAAATGATATAAATAACTGTCACACATTCTCCTTTCTTCTTTTTATTCTTTTAACACCCCCATAAAGTTTTTTACATTCTTTAACAAATGTGGACCACTCAGTTAGACAATCAGCATCCTCTTTTTTTTATCTTGCATATAACAAATTTACAAGCTTTATCCCATTCAACCTGTCACACAGTATAATCTTTCTTATTTTCTTTTTCAGTCTGACTTTACATAATAGTCTATATATTCACAAAACTTCCTTAAATCCTTCTATCAATAGTTCAATCTCACTTTCAATTGAAAGAGTTACCACGCTTTGTTTTTCATTATTACAATGCTCTAAGTCACTGTTTCAATATATTAGCACTCCCATAAACAATTCAGCATCTCGTGTTGTATCCTATGAAACATCATTTTCGCATTTTATTTCTTTGGTTTCTGTTTTTTTCCCAAATTCAAGTCAATATACCATTGTGCCACTCAAATATTTCAATATTCCCTTCAATCCATTCATTTGTGATTCATGGTTAAATCATGACAAACATCCTACTACAAATGAGATGTCTAAATAGTCATTAGTATTTAAATACATGAGTTTCCCTAATAATTCTTGATATTGGTTTATCTTGCACCTTTTGCTGTGCCGATGGTCATCTATACTAATATTCACATCCATTGGGGTTAAAACTGTATTGCATTCTTCCGTTCTATGGGATTCCAACAATTTTTCTACATAGTGCTTTAAATGCATATGGCTTTTTCCATCCCTTTTCTCCATTTACATTCCCAAAACTATCCTAGCCTTCTCCAATAATTTCAATATTCCTTTTTCGCTCTATTATTAATAAAACATAAGAGAACAATAGCTTATATCTTACACTATTTATTTACAACTGAGGGTTATATTAATACAATCAATCAAATCAAAAAATCAAAAATCAAAATAAAAACATCATTTGTGTGGTGCAGGTACACCTCCATGGACACAACAATGCTTCCTACGTGCACCACAGCATTTCCAAAATGCTTTTTGATTAATTTATGAACTTTCATAATTGCATCATATAGGCGTACCTTTGGCAAACTTTCTAATATAATTTTGGACATTAATTTCTTTTTAATTATTTAATTATTAGTAATTATTATCATTAATTACTATTTTTAGTACAATTAATTTGTGACTTCCATACACACATTATAAAAATAATGTTCCTGTATATTTTCTGATATCATTTTTGATCATATTTTACTTCCTGTTTTATCCATAATTAATTATTTTATCGGACAATCATGACGATCGTTGATATCAAATCACGTATGGCTTCAAATAATTATCAGTAACTAATTCATTAGCATCAAATTATGTTCGAAAATTGCATAAGAATGTTGCTAAAAGTATCAGCTTTCCGATGCAACTACAAAAGTTCGCGAATTAATCATAGAAATTAAGTAATTTGTTAATTTTCACTGCCTAAGCTACTCTGTTCTTTTCTAACCATCTTCTGTCCTCGTCTGTCACGTGGTTTTAGACGACCTTCTCGTACATTCTATGTTTCTGCTCTCAAACCTGAGCTTCGAGTTTAAAATCATAGACGGCGTTGATCGAAATTGGTTGGATTTTCTATTTTTGTCTATCTTATTGAAGGTATTGCGGACGCATCAACGGATTCCATTACACGCATATTGAGTTTATTTTTTGAACGACAGAATATCTTTAGGTTTCCCCTTTTATTTATGTATCGTTATGTCAAAAATGATAAAAAATATATTTGTTGCGAGGACACTGAAGAAGGATATATCGTTGTTATGGAGTAACTGTGATCTGTGTTAAGGTTATTAATAGGATAGGTGAGAAAATAGAATTTATTTTATTTTTATGCTTAATTTATTTTTCGTGCAATGAAATTCTTGTTTCCATTTTGAATAACGCTGCATACAATTTTTATACAATTAGGTTATTACATTACGGTATATTTCGAAAATACAATTTAAATTAGAGCTAAGAGACTTTCTTGTATAAATATATATACATATTTATATGACTTTGTTCGTTATTTTGTTCAACTTGTAGTAATTAAGGGTTAGGTTTGTATTTATATGTATATATATAATTACAAAATTTAATACATGAGCATTCTGAATTGTGTTATGCAAAATGTTTTTTGCTGCATTTGCACTGTGTGCCGATAGGTCGAGCCAGTAGCGCGCTCTTTCTCCATCATTTTGAATTAGTCGATTCTGTCACGAAAAATTTTAACCCAATATTTATTAATAAATACTTACGTTATTATATACTTAATTACCCAGATCAATAAATTATTATTTCTAGAACATAAACATCGAAGAATTTGGAGTAAAGTGCAGCCATTAAACCTTGACATAGGCTTGACATTCACTTGGTCAAGTGCATAATAATAGCTTCTAGCAGCAAACTGCAACCATCCGTTTAAATGAAAGTGGCTAAATATAACTATATACTTTTTTATAGTGTTGATATATTTTTTATTTATTTGGAATACCATCATTGAAACAATATTTATAAATCAACAGTGTTAAGGACTGCACGACCAATTTCTTAAGGCACCTTTACAAAGTAAAAGGCACGATTTCACTGTAAAATCGGTGCAACGGAATGCACAGTTACGTCACTTAACTCGCACTTAGAATTCGAAGTGTATCCAATAACCGCAGGCACCTGTAAACAGTTAGTTCAACTTTACAACAACGGTTAATAATGCACAGGTAAACTAAAAACGTATTAGTGGTTTGTTCATTTTATGTAATCCAAAACATCCAATTTTTTCAACGTCAAATATTATTCTCTGACATTCCAAGATTTTAATCAATCCATTAGCGTAACATTTTTATTACGGTCTAAAATTCTTCAGCACTATGCGACGTCCGTATTCTTATTCTACAGCTTGATATAATCACTTTCAGAGAAAGAAGAGAGAGGAGAAAAATCTTCTTGGTGTAGATAGTATCGTTTCTCGAAGCTTTTAAAGACCTAGTTGAAAAAACCAGTCGATCCTCCTTACCGGTCGATCAATTCGCTCGGCTCTGAATGAACGCACAGCGATCCCGTTATCGTTTCGTCCGAGTGGGTCACCGACACCTGGACAGGATTTTACTCGAAGTCACTTCGACGTGCACGTATCGAACCTGTGCCGTGAACAAACCGTTCTCGTTGATACTTGGTGGGGCTCGACAGGACCGTCTCACCTTCTGAAGTAGTCGTTCGAGGCACCTGAACAATTTCTAATCTTCTTAAAAATTTTTCGTATAAAGAAACGATAAATTAATCTTGCATTCAAACCTCGGCAATTTCAATCGTCACACCAAAGTTCAAATTAGAGTAAAATTAAACTCATTCTATAAAGCACTCTCCCTTTTTCTCAGAAAGACGCAACACCTTTCTTCTGATTTCAGAAAGTTGCACATAGTTTGCACACAGGTCAAAGAAAAAGTATCGTTAACTAAGCAATTATGTTAATTCAATTTGTTTATTCCACAAACATTAACCGACGTTCAGCGAGCTAAGTCAGGCTTATCTTAATGAGCATGCAGAAAATCTCACAGATATAATGATAGGGATATTCATGGAGCTCCCTGTTTGTCACATGTTTCAAAAAATATTCCTATCTGCTGCATATATAATATGACATATTAAAACGTTTACCGAGCTCTTGGAGAAGGAAGAGAGGGGATCTTGAAAGTGGAGCCGAGTTTCAGCCGTCCCTGGAAACCAGATGGGGTCTGAAAGTGCCCCGCGTGCTCGCCTTCGAAGAACATATCCATGCAGTATTAGTATCCGCGGGAACGAGTAACCTGTCGTACCTTTTTATCTCTGTATCGTGAAGTATCACGTTCAGCAACGGCTCGTAAGGTCGTTTCGCGGACGTTGTCTCTTTCGATCATCGTAGGCTAGAGAGTAATCTACGAACATTGACGTCCTGTTCGCGAAAACGTCTTCGACTAAAAGGAAACGTCTCGAGGGAACATATCGAGACGATTATCGTTGATTTTGCCATATTCCTGCGCGGTAATCAAAACTGGATCGACAAGTATGAAGATCGCCACGACTTTGTTCATCTTCGTAGTTGTTGGTACGTACGATTTGTCTGTCTCAAAACGCAGCTTCTAGGATCGATATGTACATCTCTCGTGATCGTGTGACTGATTCTAGAATTCTAGGTTTTAAATTGGTAGTGTGGTATATGTAGAGGTGAAGTTTGAATGAAATTGTATTATTAGATTCTGGTAGTAGAGTTTAGTACGTGACCGCTGTAGAAACTTTAACGCCGTTCAATGAGAGTGACGATGTTTCTTAGAGATGCTTACAATTGGTGCAGCGTTTCATAACGTTTAGATGTAATATATGTATATTTGGTTTATAGAAGAATGGTGAAAGTGTGGTCGTAATATTACCTTGAAATTGTCACGAAATGTCGCGAACCCGGTGATCAAATAAGGTTTCTGGCGCAGTAGGTCCTTTCACGGAATAAACAGTACAAATTTGAAGATAAATGTTTAGACTGGCAGCTGCGTTTCTAAGAATAAGCTAATACACTTGGATATTCGTGTGCAAATACTTTTCACGTCATCCATTTATGAAATTATATTTTTTTATCACACGAATATCTGAGAGTTGGCGCGAACCTCGGTCTGAAGTTCCACTCTAATAAAATGTATTATATCCTGTATAATTTCTATAAAGGTTATATTTAATACTCAGTAACTAGTTTCCAATACGAACAAATTTTATAGAAGAGAAATCAGTTTTATTTTGTCCAATCTTATTCTTTTCTCTAATCTATCAAATGATAGATATAACGTAACGATTGGGAACTGGTTTTCGAGGTATCTTGGGTAACTCGCAGGTTTTTGGGCCTTTTTCCATTATCCACGCTTTGTATCAAGGCATTTTATATTCTGTGCTATCGATCCCCGACCTATCTTGACTGACTGCATTGTTTACTCGATCTTACTACTTAAACTTGCCTATCACTCGATCTTACTATTACTGGACTTCACTACTCGATCTTCAAATAATAGTCTTTCATTGCGATACTAATGTTCTAGTACTTCTCTAGGGTGAACGCTGTTATTCTTCTCATTTTAGTGCAGAGATCTTTGTAAATACAATTCTGCGTACCGAAGAGTGCGGGAAGCATTGCGTTCCTAACCGCACTATCCCATGATTCTTCATGGGCTAGCAGAAGTAATTTTCAATAATTTTACGGTCTTCTTCCCAGCGACCTGAGCATGACCGATACATGTATTCGCGTTACACCACAGTGTTACGGTGTTACGGATACTCTTTGCTAGCTCGCAAAGTTTCTTTCAAAAATTTCAACTTCTACGGAATTTACAGACACCAGAGGTGCTTTATCAGACTTCGTTTCGCATAATTAAGAGCTAAAGATGGGACGAGGTGCCATAAACACGTCTCAGAAATGTATATAATTATGTAAATAAGTGACGAAATAACAAATATAAAATTGTGCACGCGATCTCCTGTGATATTTAAAAATAATTCTGCTCCCACCAGCAAAGAGCCGATGAGGACTTTCAACTATCTTGACTGATCTACATATTACTTAAATACTTACGTAATGGAAAATAATTCCAAGAGATTTCAAATTTCACAGATAAAATGGAAGAAATTATTGCGAATACGTGAATCCACTTTATCTACATCGAACTAGAGACATACTTCTCTGAGATTTTACTCGAATTTGTTCATCCACGGTGTCTATATTCCCGCGTAACGAGTACTCCTCTCATAAGCCGGCAGCTCGTTGGAACGGCGCATTGAATGACCACGTCCCAACGAGTACGGAATCATTGAGCAGAAAAAGTAACAGTAAACTCAGTCTATCGTACGCATCGGCGCGAACTAGAAAGTGCAAAAACATTGCTTTTCCACAGCTAAAATATTGATACGAGGAGAAATAGAACAGACGAAAGTATGCAATTGCTACCGTGGTGTCGTCAATTACAGCCGCGATCGAGAAAGGCGATTGAAATCGAACTGTCGTGCACGTCATTGGTAAATTACATATTTTCGTCCAGTGGAACAATCTCGGTCTAACACGTGGGCACAACAGCGAGATATGGGTCGTGAAAATCCCTGATCTCTGTCACGATACCTTTTTCGATGCCAGTAGCGTATTCCTCATTATCGTGTCACAATGCACTGTGCCAATCTCGCGGGAACTTTCTCCGTGTATTTATCGAAAAAATAACTTTCACGCCAGGATCGGGTGATAATTAGTCGAATCGTGACAAAAATGTGACAGCTTACTCGTTCTTACAGATGTAAATGATAGGATTGAAATTGTCAGCTTCCTTTTGAAAGAAAAACACGCGTAATAAACGTCCCAGGAAGATTTTTCTTGCAATTAATAGCCTGTCGATCGAACGAATTCCTTCGATGGACATATTGCTTTCGAAATGTATTCAAACACCGATTCTGTGAGATGATTATCGCCAGATTTCGATAACGCGTTGGCTAGATTTTCGACGGTCGTGTTATTTAGGGAACCGGGTCAGCAACGGGTTTATGTGAACGCTTCATTTCTGACTGGTCACTTTCTACATAACTCTGACCAGGCGTGATACTCCTCTTAGTGTTTCAGTTTGAACTTACCTCGTATTTTTAATCGTTTCCTCCTCTCCTTATCGTTTGAGGACATCTATAATATTGACAGTACGACGATAAGTAAATGACCTGAAATAAATTTCAGTAGCACACGGGATCGAAGTTGCGTCTAATAAGAATGGAAAGGAATAGCTTTCTAGTCTCTACATCCTCGATTAACGTGTTCCTCCAACGACGCGTTCGTTGATGACGATTAGAACGTCGGTTAAGGAATTGATCAAACATGGAGGCAGGAGGCGATAAATCGCTGTGGGACTTTCGATTTCGAGACTCTGCGATTTTGTCTCGTGTCGAAATGCCATCGGCGTTTCGCAATTACGGAAAATCGGACGACTAGCTCGCGAATCGCTGGCGAAGTACGAAACGAGAGGCGACTTCGAAGGAGTGCCGATCCCAAGGTAAAGGTAAAGGCCGCGTTCGTGGGAAAGTGTTGCACGAGTTTACTCGTCCGCGAGTATCGTTACATCGTTGCACGTAGATGAGGAAGCGGCGTTAGACGAAGAAAAGTGAATTTTACCTGCATTCACAGAAACCCCTTTCTGTGTAACTATGCGGTAACTAGGGACGATCGTGAGAGATGAACAGCGAAAGTGACCTTGAGATTTTTACCACTAGAGTCATCGTCCTCGTTTCTGGACGATTAGAATCTGGGACCAGGTCTCGGGACAGGATTAGAAAGAATTCGTGCTGTCGAATGAATACGAAGCAAATTTTAATGGAGGGGATACGCTGAAAAGGGTTTGGACGAGTTACGTAACTCAAAATGAGTTTCGAAATTTCTGAATACGCGTAATTACTAGGTTGTACTGTATTTCCAATTAGATGTTATATCCCAGGAAGACTACCGTATTTTTCTTTTCATCTTTATTAAATTAGAAAACGTAGAAAGCTAGCTTTTTCGCCATTTTTTCCTTTGTTTTGCACATCGTGATTTAATGAATTGATCGACCTGCATGTGATTCGTTACCGAGGTTGAAATTTCAAAGACACCAGGAAACGATCGATTTAGAAAGCAGAAATGAAACAAGACAAAACGAATTTCTATTCTATGATTATCGCTGTCGACGTTTTTTGAGGAAATCAGCTAGAGGTAAATTTGCTTGCTTGAATATCTTAATTATATGTTAAGTATAATAATTTCGATTATATAGGCAACTAAGATTTCTTTCAATTTTATTTCTTTGTCATAGAGGCGAATGAATATAATAGGCCGAGTTATACTTTTTGCTTTAATTATTCGTTATGTGACATTCTCTTTAAAGAGAATCGGCGCTTTTATTCTTCGATAACTCGGTCAATAAGTAGGTTTGAGCACTTGTACGTTAAGCTTTCTCGTCCCGAAAATTTCACTATGTTCCAATACACGTAACATAATTTCTATAAACTACTTCTGTCGTCATATGACCAGTGTTCTTCGTTAAAGTAACATTTTTCGATCCATAAACAGTTTCGAATTGATATTCTCGTTTTTAAATGAAACAAAAGGTTTTCGCTGAATTTCATCACTACCTCGGACCATATATCATCCTACCATTGCCTAGTTCTTCGATTATTGCGAAACACTATGACACCGTCCTTCCCACGTTTGTGTAATATTATATAAAATCACGGTGTTGAAAAATATGAGCGAAGGACGTAGCAAAAGTCAAAAATACATTTACTTTACTGAAAATGAAAAATTAAATTTGTATATACCAAAATTACAATTTTGGAATTGTCAAATTACTATGGTATATAATACACATTTTTTAATTCTATTATTCACCAAGTTAACTATTTCCAATTATTTCCCATAAAATTTACCATCCTCTTCAGCTAGAAATTATTAAATCTTTATTATTAAATCTTTATTACTTACCACTGTCGTCCAGCGTTTGCATCCCGTGATTACTCCAGCACCATAATTTATCGTTGTGCAATTTCATCCATTCGATACAACAGTAGTAAAACAAAAAGTTCGCTATTTAGAGCGTAAAAGAAATTCGTCGAAGGAATTGAACAAAGTAGAAAGAAAGAAACGTGGCTGTTAACCAGCAACTGCTTAGCTCGTAAAATTGCTTCGCGCGATTACCACAAATGTGTCGTTCGTTTCGCAACTTTTATTTTGAAAAGCATGCTTTCAAGTGGACTTCCATGACGCGGAACTGATTTTGAGACACGAGGAATCGACCTGCTCGGTGGACGTGGTCGAAAGGTTGACTCGACTTTTCAAGTGGGTCAGTAGGCTGTGGCCCAATGGCACGCCTAAGATCCGGCAGATCTTCCCTGCACACGAGTTCCGGAAGTACCTTTCACAAACTTTGGGACATTCCTTGGAAAGTTTCGGTATGACACACGAAAATTCCAAAAATATTCGTCGATTGTCGTAACACCGGTTAATCTACAAAGTCTTTCCCCAGCTCTTATTATACAAATTCTAAATTTTCCCATAAAGATCTTTGGCTAGTGACTTCTTTCGAATGTAAAATTTCGAATGTTCCAACTTTTGAAAATAGGGATACAACGTGCGGTAATATGAAATTTTAACTTATTACACGTGTTACGGAGAATCATAGTTTGTAGGTGTGAAATGGACACGATCTCTGTTTGAACTTTCTTTTAAGGTTTGCTCGTGGTTCTTTTTCCATACCCTAGAAAACCGCAAATATTGGAAGATTTCAGTTCCTCCTCGTGGAAGTATCATTATCCCTCACGATTGAGTCATTTCGACGGTAAACATTACAGACTTGATGACAACGTAATACGAGTATGATAGGCAGTATCAACTCTTGACTTGATCACCGATTTCACCGAGATTGCCTGTGCATGAAAAGAAAACGAAACTGTAATTACGTATCCATCTACATGCCATACACCACGATTATTCGCATCAAATTCAACTAGTCTTATTTCAATTTCTCTCGAGACATTCTCGTGTCATGGTTCTTTCCATTTGACTAATAAAAAATAATAAAGTTGATTAATAAAAATTTCGTCGATGTGCCAGGGAGTGGAAATTTGCAGCGAGAGAGCTTTGTCGTCAGGGAAATTGAAACTAAATTGAAAAATTCGCATGAATTTCGTTGGTTACCTAATATGACCAAGGTCGTCGTACTCGGCCAGACTTTCATTACTCTCGACCAGAGATGGTCGTTCGAGATACCTGGACACTTACTGACAAGGATCAATAGCACAGATTAGGAACTGCGGACCATCAGCCCACAAATCGAAATTTATGGGAACCCTGATCTCGGATTTCGAAGCGGTTCTCGCGTTGGCGATCCAGTCGAGATCGTCCTCGATTAAATCCCTGTTAACTGATCCAGCTAAGAATAACAAAGAGGACATAAGTTTCCATCGTATTGGGGTTCCAGTGAGATCCACTGGGCATTTTTACTGGCAAAAATCCGGTTTAAAAAGGTTGAACTTTCTCTAAGATTTATTTTATCGTTTTTAAATACATCTGACTCGAAACGTGATTCAGCTTTGGTAATTCAAAGTATCGCGCGAAATAAATAATTTGTAGAAGAATAGTAGGATGCAAGACATCGTTTGCAGAAAGCAAAAATGTAAGAATTGGTTACAAATTTTACTTGTAGTGGATTAATCTTCAGGAAAGAAAATTAGAAGACATTAATTTCACCTGTGTAATGCGAGTTGCGATAGAAATAATTAATCTGGTTAAATGAATTTACGATGGAATCAGAAGTCTATCAGTTGGGTCAGATCAGGGATCCATAGTGTTCTTCTCTTCCGGTTTGGTTGCAGGATGCACGTGGCGGGAGACACTAGGGACATGCGTGTTTCAGTCGGACTTTGGTTTCGTGCTTAACTGCGCCTTCAAAAAGTCTGGCCTTTTTCGAGTACGAAATCTTGGAGGTGTCAAAGGTTACGTCGGCCTGGGTGAGTCGAAATAATAGGGCGAAACTCTTTTCGCGAAAGAATTGCTCTAATAGTCATCGATGACGCGAGAACTCGCGCGTATGATCTCACTCTTGAGAGGAAGTTTAAATATTCCGCCGCCATTTTTGTAATTAATCGGTTACGAATGTACTGTAAATATGTTACATATTACTAATAACGATGTACCGTGTAAAAAAGAAAGTACTATTGCTTTGTCGCCTATTTTCTATTGCTTTTCTTAACTATCGAGTAAATACTAATGCTTGAAATAATCGCTAAACATAGTTTAACGATTTCTTTAGCGAATTACACGCTTGTTACGTCCTCTCTGCCGTCATGTAAATCGATTGTTTGATTTTTCTTTTAACTATCGATCGAAATGCAGCGAGTTATTATACTTTCTTGGACGACTTGCTAATAACGTACTTTCCATTCCTGTTTAAATTTATAATTTGGTGTCTTGGATTTGTGAAACATCCGAACACTACCGTGTCGTTCAAAAAGGAAGAATTCGAACGATTTATGTATCATTCCGTGCAACGGTTCATTATGCAAGGACCAAGTTATTGAACACTTCAACGTTACATCACGCGACTCACACTGTAGAGCAGGTCAGATGTGAATGACTTTGCAAAATTAATAGCAGAGGAATTTGCACCCTTTCTTTCGTACCATCGTATTCATAAATGGAAAGCTTGACACCAGTGTACCATAACACCCGGTTAATTTTACAAATCTGCTGTAACGTGTGATTAACTGCTTCTTTTGTAACGCGAATTATCATTAAGATTTCACCTCGCGAAGTTACCAAATTTCTTAGGTATTATCGTCAAAGTATTTTAATTCGTTTCTAAATTGTTCGCATAAATTCGGCAAGCGGTAAATAAAAGGTACCGTGACCAAAATAATCGCCTAGATATTTCTGACATACCTAGAAATTTGGCATGTACAACGTTCCATTAAAAGAAGTCCGTCTCACTTACCACGAAAGGATGCAGAAAGTGAATCACCACGTCAGAAACTACCAGTTAATCGAGACATGCGTGAAATGACCAATGACACTCTAACCGAGAAAAATGTCTCTTTGTAACCTACTTCCATGTCACTATGGTGAACTCGAATAGGAGCTGACTGAAAAAAATGTTATAATACGCGTTACATTATTCATCGCCTTGGCCCGGTCCAGATGTCAACGATTGTCTTATAAAAGATGACACCTGGGATAAAAAACGTGATTTGCATTAGAACCGAGCGAAGATCAGCTGAATGATCATAGAAGCCCACGGTTGTTTGCGCATTAGCAGAACAGCGCAAAAACAACGCTGTTCTTGTGCAACACGTGGTTGCTTAACTTTCTTCAGACTCCTATCTGTAGACTCGTCCAGTCTTCTGAGAGATCTGATTTCTCGTGCTTTTCTAACAGCGACTGTTATCGAATATGGAAAAAATAATCGATAAATATTTAGCTACATTAAAATTATTATTAACTTCAGGATTTTCCGTGGGTGACGAACTGGGATTTGCACAATCCCTGTCCAATTTAGAGGCAAACAAACGGAGAAGCGTGCAGACTGGTAGAGGAGGTGTACCATCCTACACTAATACGGTAAGAATTCCCCAAAAATGATAAATAACAAGAAATTATTAAAAATTTATTCCTCCGTGTACGTGTAAAGGTACATATAAATATATCACGGGTTAGAATCTTTACATTCGAAGAAATAGCCTCGTGGACGATGTGAAGAAGATTTATTGAATCGATTTTCAATACGTTCCGCTTCGCGGGCACCTAACTTCGCATAAACTAGTTCAAGGAAAGATGTATAAGAACAAGTGTGGAAGTTGAAAGCATTCCATCGTAATGCCAAGATGTTCCTCTTTGTTTTTTTTTTTCTCGTATTAATTGCATGCATTCCGGCTGAATCTGTGGAATACGATGCTCCATGCTGCTCCTCTTGCGTAATCGTGAACTCCATCTAGTCGTACAATTTCACGAGATTTACATGTCGGAATAAATAGCTTCTTTGTATACAGTCGGATAAAAAGAGCGACTATTTCTTTTCTGTATTAGTTTGAATCTATATGGACTTGGTAATAAAATTGTTTTAAGAGGGAAATTTCGTTTTTAGAAATTGTAGGTTCTATTTCCCTTTTCCTTGCTTATGTTTCTCGACATCCAACACGTCAAACGAGTTTGTTTTCAATCATTCCGATAGAACTCGATCAAATCCTGAGAATACGCTATCGGCCTTGCAGTAATTAGTGCGTGAATGTCGATAGAACTCTCTTCGCGTACAGCTTTCCATAATAATAACACGGCCTAGTGCAAGGTTTGCATTTTTACAGTAATTCATACGTAGCGTAAATTGCATTTTAATATAGATAAACAAGAAAAGGACGAATGAAGTGGAACAAGGATTTGGAATTTTTAGCATACTTCGGTTTTACCAGGGACAGAGTGCGCGTAAATTAATAACGCGTGTCTTGTTCTTGAAATTGATTCTCATTACATTGTGAAACTAATTGCCAGTTACATGCTCCGTTCTCCATGTCTTTCTTGAACGTATTGTAAGCATTGTATACATTACGTCAATTGCATAAAAGTATTATTTATTCCATAGACTTGAAAGAAAAACAGTTGGTATATCGTATAGAAGCACTCGTCTGTCATATATGTATTCCACGTGGGATAAATTTATTTATAAAAATTGTTTAAAGTACCAGTAATAATTTTTTTAAGGCTACCAACCGAGACGAAGTTAGGCAACACGCGCAGAATACTCGACAAGTGGTGCCTCCTTTTAAACCTCTACCACCTGGAGCAGCACGACCAATAGCTCAGCAACCGGAACGTCAAAAATTGGTGGTGCAACAAAATTCCACGGTTCTTAGAACCGTTCCGGCACCCTCTTTGTCAGGAACGCAGCAGGATTTGGTGAGACAACAGCAATTGATTCAACAGGAAGCGAAGCAGAAGCAACAACTGAAGCTGCAACAGGAAGCATTCGCATTGCAAGTGCTGAAGCAACAGAGGCTACAACAACAGGAGGCTATGAGACAGCAACAGTTGCAGAAGCTTCAGCAGCAGCAACAAAAACAACAACAAATGGTCGTGCAGCAGCAGAAGAGGCATCAACAGATAGTTCCGATGCAAGTGAAAAGAGATCAGGTAATCTCAGCTAGACTTAGATTATTTCTTTTCTTTATTACTTATAAGAATTTTTGTTTTATCTAATTAAAACGACCATTGGTTTCTTTCGATTGAATTTTTACTGTAATGTATCTTCTTCAGACGCCACAGATGATCGCAGTTGCAGCTTCAATACCAGGAAAATTACCTAACATCGTAGCTGCAATCCCACCAGTTGGTAGCATCATAGAACCAGACCCTTCATCGAAATCAGGGTCTCCAAGTGACAGCTTACCACCCTTCATTTCAATGCCACAGTCATTGTCACAGTTGACAGATCGAATTAGCAATAGCCCTGTTATTTTGGAGGATTCTGATAACGAGGTGTCAAAAGATGACTTCAATCAGGTAATTACTTGCGATTTTCCTATGTAATAATATTAATAAATAAATAATGTTCTTCCTATCAACTTCTCAATAAATTTATCCTGGTCGAAGATGAATAAAGAATACTAATACGAATTTTTAGTTACCTTTACCTGGGGATGAAGTTGCTTCATCTGTCAACGAGATGACTTTATTGTCCCTCCACCCAATGTCAGCTGAACCGAGTCAGTCACAACAACAAACCGAGAAACGACAATCTTTGCCATCGTCCTTGCCATCTTTAGCGCCCATTCAGGGTATGGAGACATCGTTGAAAGCTTTGGCAGAAGCTAGCAACATCACTCTGGAAGCTTTAGAAGCAGCTATCCTTCTCAGACAGCAGCAACTGTTAAGGAAACAGCAAGGACCAACCAGTACAAGCACGACAACCACGACTACAATGTCTCCACACAAAAAGTATCTTATACGACTCTTTACTTATCGTATTAATTAAAATATTCCCCTTTCATATGCTTTCGAGCATCGAGGAATTTTAATTCTTGCAATTTTCTTGAATTCTTTCAGCAAATATAATCCTGGGGCCACCAAAGTAATGAATGCACCTCGAGAATATTATCCAATGGGCTACGACAAGAATTTCGACGACAATTTCGCCAGTCGCGTGGATCTTCCGGATACAAGCTTTTATTGCGGCGACCAAAAGCATTTCCCAGGTCTTTACGCCGACGAGGATCTCGGCTGCATGGTAGAGTATCATTTATCGAAATACCTCGATTACTTCAGAATAATTAACGTCAAATAATTTCTACGAAACGAAGATTAAATTTTAATTTCACGAACGACCAGGTATTCCATGTTTGTGCACTGACAGACGATGGGCTGATCATGAAGAGCTTCCTCTGTCCAGAGTCCACCTTGTTTGATCAAACGATCCTCAAATGCAACTGGTGGTTTTACGTGGACTGTAAAGCCTCCAAGAGCTTATATGACAGTAACATTCCAATCAGCAAGAGTTATCAGCTGATGAAAGCTCTGGCTTTTTTCTCAGCGTACAAAAACCACGATAATAGTACAACTGCTCAAGAAAACTCAGAGACCTTGGAATAGTCCCTGGGCTCACAGAAAGACTAAATCTTTATTCTTAGCTTATTAGTTGGGCATCCCTTATAACTTTTAATCGGTTCTACGATTGCCAATTTACGTTCCTTTGGTCCATTAAGTCTTGAATTATTTCAGATTAGCTTCTTTATTTATTTCAATATCGAGCTATTTTCTGAATTACGTTTTCCTGTCGTGGGAAGTATTGAATGACTTGCAGACTTCTGCTTTGCCACGACGCGTGATCTTAATGGATTAAAAAGAATTTATATAGGATATACCTTGAAAATTTTTTCGTTCTATGGTGTGACAACCCCCATACCATTGCCGTTTTTATCCTAATCGATAAGTGTGTATATATAATTTATTGTGTTAGAATGTAATAGTCGTAGCGAAGTCTCTTCTTTATCGTTGTAAATACTTTCATGTTGGTCTCCTCGTTGATATGGCTTGTTTAATAATAATTCTATTTTCGTGTACGTGGTTCTTCCTCTTCTACATCGAAATTCTTCACGAATAATATACGAATGACATACGAACTATCCATCGAAATGAAGAAGAAAAATATGGAAGGAAAATATAGAAAGCATAAACTTTATTATGGCAAATAAGAGTTACGAAAAATAATACAATTTAAATGCCAATGTTGCGCTCTTACAATTCACGCGAATCAGTCTATAATTTCTCGTCGACGATCTCGTTTCATCATCGCCGTACAAAATTCGATCGAATCACCTTGATAATTAAATAAGAATCTCGAAGAATTCCTGCGCTTTGCGCAGACGATTTTCACAGACAGATTACTCATAAATAATAATATACTCAATTAATACCATCGTTTCTATACAGTTAAGATTAAAGCTAATTCGATAAATAATTCATCTTTTAAACATTATAAAACGTTGAAAATGTTATCATTTATTACTGATTACAAAAGCTTGATACGTCGATTGTTCGTGAACCTACAATTCATCTAAGAAGAACAATATTTGTGCGTACTTTACTTTCGGGCAGTATCGAGTAACATCTTTATACACGAAACTTCAGATTAAAAACTCTGTCAGGCAGTGCAAGGGTAAGTAAATCTACAGCGACACGTATAATATCTTAGGGTTATCTTCGACGACTTGCTTGCGAGTCTAATCGGTCATCGAAGCGTTAAATTTGCGTTAACAATACATTTGGTTCGTCGTGGCAGATCTTATTCGAGGTCTTGTTTCGCCCTGGAACACGATTGGCAGCACAGCTGTTGGTAAAACTGATAAGTGCAGAGTCGAGCTTGCGCCACTAAGTTGCAATTAGATATACTGTCCTTGCAAAGTGGATTCTCCTCGAGTACTGAAAATAAAGGAAAATCAAGAAATTCCCATTTGCTTATCTCTTTCGAATCTCATCGACGACTGTCATTACGTGATGAAGTTAGGAAGGATTTCAGATAAAACTTAAAATACCATTTGAGATCTCTGGATCGTTCTGCACTTGCAGGACCGTGTGATGATTTTCAGATCTGTGCATGTCGTCCTTGCAAGGATAATCGTTGCAGGTTCGTCGAGACATAGGGCGATCCTTCTCTTTGCAGTGCAGCTCGTGGTGCTCCGGTGACTGACCTTCTCTGTTCAAACACCTTACTTCTCTCTTTTGAATGCCTTTTCCGCATGATCGAGAACACTAAAATGATTGGGAAATAAATTTACATAGCTATTGCTGAGCTGTAAATTTTGTAACTCGGAAATTTAACTCATATTTTTCATCATTTTTCCTCATTCTGCCAGGAAACTATCCGAATATGAGTCTAGATTGGAGTATAGATACGCGACTAAATATTCAATTGGCAATCTCGATAAGTTCCGAATTCAATCGAATAGTATCGAGTAGAAGAATGTATTTTATGGTGAGTAAGCGAATTGAAATTACCTCTGCCCAGTCCGATATGAACCACATGGACGCACAAGGTGGACCACTGCAGGATCGCCTCGTTTCCGGTTTATTCGCCGGACAATTCATGTCCAGAACTACTCGAAGGGTTCCGCGAAGTGTCGTTATGCAGACCACCTCTCTCACTTGTTCTCCAGCGTCACATTCCGTAGAGCACTGGAGGAAAAATAAATATTTATGAAACACTGCATCGTCATTAAGGCGCAAGATTTCCTACACCTTTAACTCGAGTTCTAAATTAGCGTCTTGGACTGAAGAATTAAAATTCGAATCGACCGTTTTCCCATAAAATTGCAGCTTTCCGAGTCTTTATAGCGACGTCCATTTAACTTAATGTTAACTTATTATTTTCTTTATTTATGTCATTTGAACCTACCGCGGTCCAGGGTCCCGTAAACCATTGTCCACTACAGGTTCTGTTGCTGGAACAGGTTCTCGAAGTTTCTGGTCTTGTCGATTGGTCGCAAAATTCTTCCTCCGAACCTTTTTCGCAGAACACCTTTCTCGTCTGCATACCGACACCACACTCCGCAGAACACTGTGCGCATACGTGAAAAATCCCATATACTGCTTGAAACACGTAACGTGCAAGTATCTGAATAAAAATGAAATGATTCCTACATCTTCGGACCATTCGGTGAACAACCACTGTGCACTCTCGAGACTCGTCGAGATAGCGTTTGTCTGTGGCGATTTCGTTGTACAGGGTCCCAAATCACAAGCATCTTGAGTAATAGGCTTCACTTCTAGATCACACGGGGGTCCCTGTGTCACGCAGGTGGCGGCCCTTGTCCTTTGACCTGGACCACATGTTGCGGAGCACTTTAATTAGAAGAAAAATAAATAAATTATAAATATCGTAATTCTATAACAAACTTCGTATTTTCACGAGATTATTTGAAATTGTATTTCACTCTATTCATTTTAATTTTTAAATTAAAGCATATGCTTTGTGTAGTAATTTTATTTGACGCAAATATAGGTGTGTACAGAGCTTAAGTTTGAATAGAATTTCGAAGTATTCTCTTATCTCTGATTCAATCGAGATAGAACGCGGAGTAGGATTGAAAGGGTTAATGAAATAATCGTAGTACTTACCGTAGACCATGAGCCTACGCTCCATTGTGGAGGTTGCAGCGTAGTCGATGCGACTTTCGCGTCGAATTCACATCGTGGCATTTCGCAAGCCTCGCTCGTGGGAAGGATTTTTGGTTCCATACATGCTCCATCGGATATTCGCATTATTAGTGACGGGGTTATTTCTTGCACGCATTCTAATTCTCTGACGCGAGTACCGCTACCGCAAGTAACCGAACAATCGCCCCACGGACCGGCTCTCCACCTTCGCAATATTGGAAATGAAATTCTAGTAATTAAAATACTCGTGCTGCCAGTTAATTTATTTTTTTCTTTCGGTATAGATCTACCTTTCGATACCTTTTCTAAGGTGAAATGATCAAAGTTTATCATTTCCTCGATTTCTCGGATAAATATGAAATAGAAGACACAGAGGAATCTTTTTTTTAGAGAAAAAGAGAGAATGGAATGTATGGAATTCTTTTTAATCTGTTTGTAAAGAAAAAAGTATTGAAAGTAGGACTCACTTGGGAGGACAAGGTGTAGTATTGCATCGTATTTGAGTTTCACGTGGCTTTTCCAACGTGTGACATCTCTTATCAGGCACTGGTGTCTGCGTGTGTTCCCTTATACATATATATCTCAGCATTTGGAAACCTTTTCCCCAAAAAAAGGTTATAAAAAATTACACTCTTCTACAATGTGTATCAAAGTGGTACAGCATCTACTTACCCCCGCCACAGGTCCTGCTACACTCTGTGTAACCACTTGCTTTCCAAAAAAATTTCCTTTTTTTGTAACGTCTTGGAAGATACGTCTGCGTCCCATCGCCAAGAGGTGGTCCAGGTTCTATTCTAAAAAGTGATGAATAGTTGGCAATATTCTAGGAAATGATGAATAGTTAATGAACCACGCGAAGAAATCGCATTGAAATGTTAATTGTACAAGCGTTCTTACTTCCTGTGAGGAATAGTCTGCAGAATGGGTTCACCGGCCTTGTTAGAAACTGAAAATGGAATTTTCTTATACAGCAACGATCACGAAGGACACGTGCTTATCTACAGCCATTGTTATATATTTCAAATAAAATTCGTACCTGTCTTATGTCCGACATGCGAATTTGGAGAGACGCCTACACTGCCCGGGATGATGTATCGATACACGATTCCGGGATTCGGTTCTTGATACAAAACCTGAATGATAAATATTCGTATTCTTCATTACACAGGTACAGTGGTATATATTTTGTTCTTTTAGTCGTTTTCATTCCGATGACTTATTTACCATAACGTCAATCGGTTCTTGCAGAGGACCGACAGCAGAGAAGCTTTCCAAATTCTGAGAGCTCTGACGAAGATAAACGAAAGTAGATCCAGCTGCTTGATATTTCCCAGACAAACTGATGCTGTAGTTTCCATTGAACAAGTAGCTACCATCTTGCAACTTGACCGCTAGAATCAACATCCTAAATCAAATCCCTGGCAAGTTTCTATGCTATCGAATACCTAGATCATTTCACTTCCGACTTAACAATAGCGATTCTATTGCATACACGTTCGCGAGACTAAGAGTCAATTCTCCAATTATAGCAGATCGATTAGCCAACTGCTCTCGGGGATTGCAGCGAAGAATTTTCAATAAGGCAGAAACAATAATCGCGACTGTAGTCCGCGAGAAAATTGAATTTCCGAGAACGGGTTTTTGCAGAGACCGAAAAAACACGGTTTGCAAAACGGAGCGTTGGAAGGCATTAGGATTCAGCTGGTCGCGTTGTTAATTATTTCACGGAGTTGTCATGCGCTCGGAGCTAAGTCGCATAATCATTCTGGTAATGAAACGGAAACGGAGAGTCATTCACGGCGCCTGCATGCGAGAAATGCTGGTTCTGGGCGCAATGCAACTACGCGATACGATACATTAGAAACATAGACGAGTCATTTAGTAGATGACGTGCACGTAGGTTACCCGCTGTATGTCTTTCAACTCTCTTCAGGCTTGGTTAAACGAAACATTAACTCGATATTAGCAGTGAATGCAAATCGCTTCGTTTTCACTTTAAAAACGCGACAGTGATGGAATTCACGTTGTACCAAGTCCACCGGTTGTGCAAGGAAATGTCGAATTATTTCTAGATTCCGAAATTGAATTTAATGGAACGACATATGAAAGAACGAAATGCGATAATTTATAATAGTTTTACGAGTTATTTCGTGGCACAGCGCATTTGACTAATTAACGACCACGACTCGTCCTATTAACCCACATTTCCTCCTAATCAGAATCCCAGTTCGTGGCACTCGGAATTGGATATTCACCACGAAATGACCAACTTCGTAACTTTTATGATCAATAAAACGTTCAAACCTGTCGCGAATACCGCACACTGTTACGAAACCAGCGATTTGTATTAAATACGTAATTAACCACATCGTTAGACCTATGATTCGCTTCGCGTTGTTCCACACCTACACAGTCGTAACTTTGAGGCAACAACAGAATGGCGGACTGTTTGAATCAAAATAATAAGGGTATTTAATCGTCTTTCGAGATCTATGACACGTCGGTCGATTCGATCCATTGTGAAAATCACGACCGCGATCGTTTAGGTGCGAGTTACTGCTCGCAAAACGTTCACGACTACGTTTACGACCAAATCGATTTATGTAGTACGCGTTGCATATGACACACGGCACACGTTGATACTGCCGGTAAGAAAAGCTGAATTTCGAGAAGGTAAACGTCAAAATAATTAAAAGCGAAGATTAAAACATATAACAAAATGGTCAATAATAATTCAAACGTTCAGTGGAGCCGAAAATATAGAGACTAAGATACTTTATTGAAATCTTAACTTCGGAAAACTATTTAAAATTTCACAGTATACTTAAAAAAGTGACAGAATTCAAAGATGTTGAAGACTACGAATATCCAAAGCAAATACTTCTCGTAGTAGCGATATAATCTCGACTCTAACGCGTACCAATGTCGCGGAATAAATATTCCAAGAAAGGTACCGATACCGTGACATGGAACAGGTAACCATGGACCCAGCCGTTCTCGCGATTACCTTTAACGCCATCTGTCAGAACGAATCAAGGAACAAAGCTGCGACCACGTATTGTGTGTCACGTGAATGGCTACTGCGTTTCATTTACGTTCCACTTAACGCGTGCAGAGAGATTAGATTATGCGAGGGTTGATGCCAAGAGCACGGCAACGCCTCGAATAGGATGAATTCTCAGAGATGGAGGATCTCGCGTTGACAATAAAGAGGGATCGCGGACTGTGCAGCTGATTGCTCGTAATCGCGAACAATCGCCTCGACGATTTGCTCGCTGGCACACTTCATTAGAATCATTTCGCCGCACTCGAGCGGGGATTCCACGTATCAGACTGATTCAATATTCCATGTAACCTTCCTTCGTTCTCATTTTCCGTCCCCACCTCTCGCGCTTCTCGTTTGCCTTTTGCTCCACTTTATTATCCTTTATTACCCCGCTATATTAGCCCGCGTGGCACTTTCACGTCATTGTTATCGAACTCGCGTACGTTTCGCGGATCACGATTTATCTCGCCGCGCGTTAAGCTAGTGATAAATGAAGATTTTCTCTTGTTACGGGCACGCACGGGTATTTTTGTCGCCCGCGATGCGGCGACGATAAATATATGCCGCCTTACCCAAATAATTCTCCGTGTGACGTAATTGTGTCACGTTCAGAGCCAGGGCACCTCGAGGAACAGTGGCCACCAAGTTGTAACCCCGTTCCAAGGTCGGTTCCGTGAAGATCCCGTCGATTAGGTGACCGTCGCAGAAACTCGAGAAACACTGCGAACATAAGTGGTTCTAAATTAATTGAAATAAATTAACTTGAATTTACTGGTCTGTTACGATGTTTCAAACTAGTCGGAATATCTTCCTTATGCTATTTATCGTAACGTAATTTCATTATTTTACCATTTGCGTGTGATATTTAATAAATAAACGGATAGAGGTGACGATAGAATTTATTTAAATATTTCAGTTTAACACGTTGAGTGCTACGTTAGTCTCTAGGGACTGACAGTGGACTTTCCGTTCAGGCGGCGTCAGTCCCTAGGGACTGACAGTAGACTTTTCGTTTAGACGGTGTGCATTCTAGGGACTGACAGCGAATTTTTCGTTTGATCATCATCGGTGCGTAAGACTGGCATTGTCAAGGGTTAAATTATCAATGACAATTAATATATTGTAAAAATTTAATTCCCTCTGTTAAAGTAAATCTTTACACTTCCGTCGCTTTTTTCGACTGATCGTTTCTTGGTGATCGTCTTTTTGCCTTTCTGGCACCCCCCACCCCATTATCTTCTGTTTATAATTTGTATATTTGTGGATTGGCTGTACCATTCTCACAGTCCAAACGACAAAGTGAAACAAAGTAATCTTCTGCTCATACCCTTCGGTATACTTGAGCGCTCGGCATCAAGTGCTCACTAGCTGCCGCCTGAGCGGAAAGTATAGCAAAATCGGCGCCGCACTCAACGCGTTAAGTAGAAATAGTGATAAATAGAAATTTTCCTTTGCTCGAGGTCCACTCTTTTATATTTCCTTTTAATAGAAAATTATTTTAAGGGGTATCTATTTTTATAATGACTCGGGTTTGTCACGAGATATTTAGGTACTCGAAGGTTTCATAAAGCTGTGAAGTGCACCGTATTGTTTACTTGACTTTCAATAGCTGCTTCCCGGCAAAATAACGCATGCCATGAAATACCCTGGCAAAATTGCTCGAAATGCGACAAAGCGCAACAATGTCGAAGGAAATAGGAATGACACGGAAGTAATAACACGTTTGCACGCTCTGGACGAGGAAGCAATCAGAATACGCTAACAAAAATAATGGAAAGCGTTACGCTCGTTTTGTCAGGCACATTGCTAGCGTTGCAGTACATTGGTACCAATGATAAATATCTTCGGTTTTTTATTGCCGGGCTGGGCTCGTACCGTGACTCTGAACGCAATACTTTTCCTCCCTTCTTCCCTTTTTTATTTTCTTTTTTTTTCGCGGAGCAACGTGCAGTTTCATTGTCTATAAATTCAGCAAACACAACTCCTCCCGCAGTGGACGTAAAATATTCGACGGACCTCTCGGACTTAACGATAAAGATCCAACGAGGAGACAACGTTAGAAGATAATAAAGAACGCTTTATAAAAAGCTCTTTTAAAATGAAAACCTCAACTCTTCCAGTGAGTCACAGAACAAATACAATTTGCCAGACAAATACATTAAGCTACCCTTATTCATCGACTATATATATGTTTTCTAAAAGGAGCAAGTCAGAAAAAGCTGCGTCTCTTTTTACATTCTTTGTCTCTGCCCTCTGAAATAGACTCTACGTGTACGTAACGCAGGACAATGACATCTCGAAAATCTCTCATTAAAGAAAAATTCTTTTGACGGTCCAAAACAATACTAAAAGCTTCGCGAATTGTCAAGGAAACCCTCTTTGTAACTCTTTTGTTTCTGGTGCACAACGCACGACAATGACATTTTAAAAATGCTTCATCGAAAAAAAATATTGCAATGGACTAAAATTTTGAGGAATCACCAAACACAGATAATTCAATGGAAGCAAACTTTCATACGTCACGCATCTCTTCGTTCATTTAACCAAATAGGAAATTGTTTATTAAACAGAATACCGTCTTAATTTGCCAAATTTCGTCGGAAAATTAACGAATCATCAAACCCATCTTATCCAGTTGTACCGTATTAATCGAGCGAAACCTCACGGCTATGCGCCATCCATCTGTCTAGCCACGCAACTGGACAGGTCTCTCAGCGACGACTTTGTTGAGTCTCCACTCGCCTGGTCACTCAAGGAACTATTTCCAGTTGACAATCAGTAAAAACAGGAATGATGTTTGTACACGTGGCTACTTAGCATGGCGTGTGTGGAAACAGCGGGGCCCGATCGCGATCGAAGTAGATTTCGAAGTCGAGTCCGCGTCGCGAATTAGTAAGTCACAACACGCGTGCCCGAGACACGTGTTTGGACGCGTAAAACCGGCGTGAAATTATGGCTGTCACGGCATAAATTTAGCCCGTCGCGTTCCTTCGCGAGTGTCCAAATGCCAGCTGCACTTTGTCGCGCCGTCCCTGAATCGCGATGACTCGAGTGCACCGGAAATCGTGGATCTCTTCGTGGGCGATCCGAACGCCGCGATCGAACAGCCACTGGCCGCCATTGGAAGCTCCTTCGTGTTCGCGGTGCTTCGTACGAGCTTCCATTAAGTACACCACTGCGTGTTCTGCACGTGTGTGATTCGTGTGTGATTGAAGGGAACGGTAACCGAATGTTATTACTCGACTAGGAGAATGTTGTTTCGCGGAGTACGCTGGTAATGGAGGTTGCTACACGTCGGTTGACGTGTGATGTTAATCGCTTAATGTTGTGTGACCGACGATCGGAGGTCTCGAGTTGCGATACGAGGTGTAATGGGACTGTGCAATTGTTACAGCTTGATATGTTCGACACTTTCGATCGACACTTTTACGATACGCTTAAGATAACGAGCCGTTGTCAGACACGCGATAAATTAGAGATCGGGGAAATTTGAAGAAAAATATCGCGTATCGCATATAAAGTTCCACGGTGTGGAAATAAATTTCAAATAGCAGTTATCCCTCGGCGGGTATCGCGTCGGATGAAAATCTGCTCAGAAGTGAACGTATCCGAGTGTATTCTCGTATTCTCTCGATACCGATTTCAACCACGATAAGTAGCCTTTTCCGAGGCCGATATTTGTTTGCGTGGTTCTTACGATTGATCGCCGCCTCGTTTTCGCAGATTTATCAGGGACCTATCATTTGTCACAAGCTGGTAACTCGGAAGATATAAATCAAAATTAATATTTCCAACAATGATCGGGCGAGAGCAGCGTGGAAACTTAAAAAGCAGGGTAGAAGGATTGTCCAGAGATTTATAACTCCCGACTTGTGGCATGACAGATACGATTAATATTCGTGTCTCGTAAACGTCTCTGTTATTTGCAACTTTGATCAAGCGTAGAAGAAAAATTGCAACGATTTCTTGGAAACGAAGCCTCTCTATTTCTGCGCACGTCGTGTACAATGGCAAAGCAATTTCTAATGGTCAGTAGGTGGGGAAATTGATAAGCTGAAAATAACGTTGCGAAAGGAAATTCGAAGGATACCGCGGCGTTCTTCTGTTCCCATGGCTGATGAAGTTAGCAGAGATTAAGTCGATAAGGGATTGTATGTTAAATCGCTCATAGTCTCCGTACGTGGGTTAGTGTTACATGGGCGTAGAATCGGTATATGGGACACGAAAGACGAGTATAAATTACGGAGAAGACCACATGGCCACGTACGAGCAAGTGCTTCGATGGTGATTCAGGTCGGATCTGGAACTTCGTATCTATTACCACCGTTTGATTGGACGATTAATAGCGCCCTGATGGCTTTCTTGAAAATTCGATTCTATTTCGGTAGGCAGTTTCGCAATTTGGGAATGCGTCGAGCTCACTGACGCGCCAAGAATGCTGCCGAGCGTTTATAGAAGCTTTAATGGGGTTTTATGAACGGATAAGTGTACTGGAACCAATTAATTTCGAAAGTAGTTGAAGTCTTTATTCTCCCAGACACTTCTGTAATCCTTACGCAACCTCGTACTCCTCGCCTTTTATCGGTCATCTTTACAGAATGACATTTAACAACTGCCCATCTAGAGGAGATATCTTCATTTGAATCACAGACTCCGGAACACGATCTTCGAAGTAAACAAAACTATAAACCGTCCGATTTAAATAATTCCCTAATCGATACTTCATTTTATCGACCACCTACTCGACTCTTTCCGAACACCATCGAAGACTTCCTGGACCTCGTCCTCTCCCATATAACCTAAAATTTCCACCCACGTGTCCGAAGCTGAAACGAAAACCCGGGTAAATAAACCATCCATAAAGCGAATCGATTGTTAAGGTCTTCGACTCGTTTTCCAGCGACGTCCAAGCGGCTACGTCCTTGATATCCGCTAGAGCTGAACGCAACGCTGTTCCGTTGTAGCGACACTTCTTTTTTTCAGTAAAAGCTAATCAGTAACGTGCATATAAAGCCGCGCCCAAAGTGACACTCCTCGGCTCTTTGATTGGATTAACCAGGGATGAATGTCAAGCTATATACCTCGCAGTGACCAACGCTCGACGTTAATTGTATGAATATCGCATGAGCGAATTTATAAATCGACCAGGACTGGAGGGGAACAATGAGTACCCACGCGAGTGGCTCTCGATTACCGCTCGATAATGTCAAACGACGCGAAGCAGGTCCCCGATTTCTCGATATTAACGGCGTGGATCGGGCGAAACGCGGCCGAGCAACCGGACGTTAATGTTATCTCTCGCCGATCGTTATCTAGGATTTGTATTTATGACAACGGCCTTGATTTACGGCCTCCTCCGCAGGATTACGCTTATGAAGAAATTTATGGAATCCCTTAATTACGTAACTAGCCGCAGGCTGGGCGGCGATCATAATAATTCACCCGAAAGGTTCGATCGACGGATATCGGGTTCGAGTGCCATTCTTACGATCAGAACGCTATTCAAATTTCACAACAATCGTCTCGCAGCGTGCAATCTCTAAAATTATCTTCGTCGTTTGAAAATAAAGATTCAGGAAAACCATGGATCGAATCCAATTTTCCGATCATCTATCCCTTATCAAATCGCTGCATCTCGCAGGCGAAATTCCACGATATCGCATCGCGTAAGTACCCCACACCCTTAACATTCATTAACGACAAACTTTATGGAACAGCCA